TATCTTTATTCTTGTACACAATATCCTGTTAGTTGTAAATATGCATCAATAATAGATTACATATTTCCATAATGTTTCATCCAGCTGGAATGAAACAATTCCTCACACAATATGGATACCATTAATAATACACATTAACTGTGCATAAATCATTTGGGAACCAAATATTGATATATAGTGCATAAGTCAATTATGGCATTAATTTGCATAATTTTAAAATCTGTCTTCTATTTTACCAAATTCCTTGATCAGTTCTGAAAAAATCTCCCACAGAAAATTGTGAAATATATCATAGGTCAGTTTGGATTCTACAAAGTGCGTGAAGCGAACTTGACATATATACCGACAAAAAAGTACTGGTGAAGGATGATAACATTGTTCAGTCTATTTCAATGTGTCGTAAGGCATTCTCCATAGATTTCTAGCAGGCATGCTGCCAGGCGTGCTTAGGTCAGTTTTCTACTCATTGTAACTGCTCATCACAAGCAAAGTCATCCAGGTGGACACAATTAAGTTAGGTCGACCCATGACGCTGGTGAATGAGCGGAAGGGGAATTTACAACATATTAAATAATGCAAATATAAATGTAATAGACTATGGGGTTCCACGCTAGAAATACATAAGGCTAACCATGATGGCTCTGTAGATTTTCAGTCATGTGATAGCATTCTGGAATTGAATGAGTCAGAAAATCAGTTCCAACCACTGTCCTCTGCTCAGTGTACTGTACAGTGGCATTTATTAGACCACTGCAATCTCAAACAATAAAGCTGGTATTGTGAGGGTAGCAGCATTGTTTACCCCTCTGAGAAAGAAGCAGAGTGATTGTTTAATACTGCCTCCACTTACTGTGCAGCGATTTGTTGGACAGGACGTAGTTTCTATTGTCCTGAGCTCAGCTGGACCAATGACATGGACACCTCGTAATATTGATGCTTGAGTTCTGGGAGAGTTATGAAGACTGGTAATTGGCACATTCTAATAAGACATGCCTGTGTTTTATGACTCAGTATCATCAGTGTACTATCCTACACTGTGTGTACAACGACCGGAGTGGACAGTTTTTAATGAGTCCTTAGCTTTGGTGGTGCATTCATTACACACTGTCACCGATCCCCATGTTCCCTTATTACATTCACCCCATGTTTTTTCAACCAACCTAATGCAAAATGTTGTCACGCTATGTACTAATTAGGGAAATGTCACGCGATTATTAGGAGCTGCATTTATAACGAGAAAATGTATACAGAACAATATCAAGCTAATCAGATTCACCAATTATTATTATTATTATTATTATTGGATTTTGATTGGACCCTACTTGTTAACCAACTTACCGATTCGTGTGACTCCGCTGAGGCGGTCTGTATCAGTAACGTTCTTCAAAAACAAAGATATCAATAGGTGAATGCCAGTAAAATTATGCAGACAAATGGCAGGAAGGTAATGCAAATGTGGCTTGATACAATTCTCCATCTTAGATGCAACAGTTATCGCCCAGACAGTAATAGTGCCAGTAATGGGAAGGTAGGGTGATTACACACCAGCTCTGTGTTTCCCCGATGACCGCTAAGCCAGGACCATTGGTGAGGACAAACATGATAATACAGGACGTACGGGCACTGTCACAATATTGACCATCTGCCTTCTTGCTTATAATTTTCACCTATTTCTGGTGGACAACTGCAGTGCAGGGGTGCATCTGATTATTGACCTAAACTGACTGAATCAGTATATTCAAGAATATACCATTTTAAAATGGAACCTCCAGTCAACGTACGCTGCTGTGTATACAATGACTAACATGGATAGAACACATAGACTCATACCTGCATGTTGTAATTCACCCTGAAAGCCATCAATACATGATATACCAATTCAACATCTGAATGTTGCAACACACATTTTCACAAAATTACTGATCTGTTCAGTCATGT